TGTTAACTTGTTATTCTATATATAACATTATTTTATATTGGGCAGTTTTTTTGAGAATTATGGCATGTAGTTATTCAAAATGTTAAAATTAGGCTAAGTAGTTAAGTTAACCTAACCTGGTTCCTTTTTGGCAGCTAGTTTATCTATGAACATCCTCCACTGTCTAGCACTTATTCATTTACCGAATATTTTTTGGAAAATCACTGTATGCCAGTATTGCACTAGTTTATTTGGATACAATTATAGCATAATTTCTGAGCCCTTCTTTCTAGGAGCCTCTGGTCGAGTGGAGCAAACAGATAAGTAAACACAGAGTTAGCTACATCACTGTGCGCTGATTAAGTTCTGTGAAAGGAGAAAAATAGCTTATATCCTGAAAGCACTTGAGTAACACATAACCCTCAGACTTTTCTCAGAGTAGGAATATATAAAGGTGTCACAGAAAGTATTCTGGAGTAAATAATATCTCAACTACGACCTTAGTTTCGAGTGAGGCAGGTTACAGAGAATTGTTGATTGTTCCAGGCAGAATTTTAAGAGAAGGAGCTAATTAGTTAAACTGGGAACTAGTCTTTCAGAAACTTCCTTTTAAATTGTGGTAGGGAATTTGAAATTTAGAATTTGGAGAGTTGGAGATGAAATTGAGTGGTTTTTATGTCAAAATGGTATCACGAATGGAGACAAGACTTAGAGACCCATAAAGAAGCTGTCATAGATTTCCAGTCAAGAAATATTGGTGAACTAAAGTGAGATAGAGGTAGCTAGTGACAAAAGTGGATTGGGTTGAAATTTTCTAGGTGATGAAATAGACCAATTGTTACTTGGAACTTTGAGGTTGAAAAATTAGGTTTATACACTCTAGCAAAACATAATTTGAGATAAGAATCTACAGGAAACCAATAATACAGCAAGTATGGAAGCTAAAGGAGTAATACGAGGATAAGCTGTTCCTTGGGATTACCTGTTTCACTGCTCTTTGCAATAGTATGAGTAAATAATAGTAGAGTCTACCAAATCTGCAACTAAATAATTGCAGTCACCTATGTTTGCATTTGATACCAACATGAGTAGTCACTTAGTCATGCATAGACATGCAGCCCTTCTTACATTTTATGTCTAGTCCTACTATTTCAGAATAGTAAGTAAAATCATAGTATAGAAAGCAGAAGGAGTCCCAGGATCCACTGGTATAATTTGAGGAGAGATTCAAGCCAACTTATTCCAACAATCTACTTGCAAATAATAGAGATTTAGCTGTACCACCAATAATCACCTTTTTTGATCATTAAGCACTTGAAAAAAACTATAAAATTAGAATTTTTTCCTTCAACTTTTTATTTTGAAATTATTATAGACTCTTAGAAGTTGTAGAAATAGTACACAGAATCCTGTAAACCCTTCACCCAGCTTCTCTTAAGGGTGACATTTTATCTAACTGTAGTGCAATATCAAAACCAGGAAAATGACATTGCTATAACACTGATAACTAGACTTAACAGTTAACTTATTCAGTTTTCAGCAGGGTTTTTGTTTTTTGTTTGTTTTTTGGTGAGGAAGATTGACGCTGAGCTAACATCCATTGCGAGTCTTCCTCTTTTTGCTCAGGAAGATTAGCCCTGAGCTAACATCGGTGCCCATCTTCCTCTATTTCCTATATTGGAGTCTGCCACAGCATTGCTTGATGAGCAATGTGTAGGTCCACACCCAGAATCTGAACCTTCAAACCCTGGGTCACTGAAGCAGAGTGTGTAAACTTAACTAGTATGCCACCTTGCCGGCCCCTTCAGCAGTTCTTATTTGCACTCATTTGTGTGTATCTGTATAATTCTCTGTGACTTGATGCCCTGTATAGATTTGTGTGACCATCACCGCAATAAAGATATAGAACTGTTCTATCATTATAAAGAAAATCCCTCTTGCATCCCCTTTGTAGTCATACTCACCCCTCAACCACGTCCCTGTCTCCTAGCCACCATGAATATGTTCTTCATTGCTATAGTTTTATCATTTCAAGAATGTTATTTAAATAGAATCATACAATATGTAATTTTTTGAGATTGGCCTTTTTTTTACTAAGCACAGTGCCCTTGAGATTCATCCAAGTTGTTGCATGTATTAACAGTCATTGCTTTTTTTTGTTCACTTATATTCCCCTGTATGTATGGATGTTTCATAGTTTCTTTAACTCCACTGGTTTGTTGAAGGACATCTGTATTGTTTCCAGTTTTTTTGACTATTACAAGTAAACTCGTTATGAACATTTGTGTTATAGGTTTTTGTTTGAACATAAGTTCTTATTTCTTTTCTTTTTTTTTTTTAAGATTTTAGTTTTCCTTTTTCTCTCCAAAGCCCCCTGGTACATAGTTGTGTCTTTTTAGCTATGGGTCCTTCTAGTTGTGGCATGTAGGATGCCACCTCAGCATGGCCTGATGAGTGGTGCCGTGTCCATGCTCAGGATCTGAACCTGCGAAACCCTGGGCTGCTGAAGCGGGGCACGCAAACTTAACCACTCGGCCCCGGGGCCGGCCCCTCTTATTTCTTAATAATACCCAAGAGTACAGTTGCTGTGTTGCATGGTAAGTGTAGTTTAGTTCTTTAAGAAACTGCAGGGTGGCTGTACAATTTCACATTCTCAGCAGTAGTTGTATGAGGAATCCAGTTTTCTGCATCCTCACCAGCATTTGCTGTCGTCTCTTTTTTTGTTTTAGCTATTTTAATAGATATGTATTGCTGTCTCACTGTTTCTTTAATTTGCATTATCTACTGGCTAATGATGTTAAACATCTTTTCATGTGTTTATTTGCCATCCATCTACCCTCTTTGGTGAAATGTTTATGTCTTTTTCCCATTTTTCTAATTGGTTTGTTTCTTTATTGTTGAGTTTCGAAGATTCTTTATGTATAAGTCCTTTGTCAGATATGTAGTTTGCAAATATTTTCTCCCAGTCTGAAGCTTGTCTTTTGTCTATAATATTGGAATAACCATTTAAAGTATTCTTTGGTATATAGAGTGGAGATTTGCCTAGTACATGGAGGGGCAAGATGTGTTAAAATTAACCTTTTAACTAAGACCATTTACAGTCAGAATTTATATAGGTTAGTCTCTGAAGTAGTGTGTTTGTTTCTTTCATGAATGATCCCCAAATGAAGAAAAATGCATGCTTTTCATAGCTTACCTGAACTATATTTGATGCAAGGAGGCAGATTAGACACCTACCCTGGAACTTCAGACATTTTACTTAGCTTTTCTGAGCAATATTTTCTTAATGCATGAAATGGGGGAAAATTTATTTTAATTCCAGTAATACTGTGACACAGTTAATACAGTTCTAAACAATGAGGCATATTGCAAAAGCTTTCTTCCACTTTTTAAAACTTCAGTCCTCCTTATTGTCTAGGGGTCAGTTCCATGGTTTCCTGTGATTTCAGATCTTGGCTTGTAGACTTTTTTCACAATCAAGTGTATCTTAAACCTGAGTGAGGGTATCATTTCATGTTGCTAAAAGGGTTTTTCACACACACACACACCCCCCTCTCATTTGAGGGAAAAAAATTAAAATAACTAGACTAAGAATAATGTAAAGATTCTCAAGCAAGATACCTTAATGTAGACATAAAAGGCTGTTAGAAAGGTGCCCTAGTGCAGTGAGAAAACCACTTTTCTCCTAAGAAAGAAGATGGTTAAGTGACTAGACATTAGTTGAGTACTCTGTTCTTGAGTTTCCAATTTGGGAGCCTGGAGCTAGAAGCCCTTTGGGGTTTGAGTCTTGGCTACCTGGCTTATACAGCAAGGGGGAGACAGATTTGCTCACTTGGTATCTATCTGTCAAGGCCTTGCTCACCTGCTGTCCTGTTAGCATTTCCAGAGAAGAAGACTACATTCGAAGAGTTGGTGTCTGTTTGTCGGTATGTGAGGTTAATAAATGTGAATGTAAAATATAATATTGCTACAGTGACCGATCTTCCTTCAAGTTATTGAAATTTGTACTGTTTAAAAATAGTTGACTTAAGTAACAATTTGTTATATATAACCAAGTATATACACTTATAAATATATGTATAATAGTTATATGGAACCAAGTATAACTTGGTTGGGTTCAAATCCTGGCTCTGCCACTTACATGCTGTTTGATTTTGATCAGGTTACTTAACCTTTCTGTATCTTCTAATCTTAAAGGGGGATTATAATAGTACATATTCCATAGGATCTTTTTGAGGATTAAATGAGTTAATAAATGCAAAGCATTTGTAAGAATTCCTGGTGCATAAGTAAACACTACTGAAGCTATTACTACGTGACTAATAAAGTCTTCCTGTAGGAAATCAGTAGTAAGAAAATTAGATCTTTTAGCAAAAGATGTTTATCTATGAGTGTGTTGCCCTCAAGGAGAATTTTGCAAAAGTTTCCAATTTTTTTCATTAGTATATTTTTCATTCCAGTTACCATTGCCAATTTTATTTTGGACATTATGCTAAAATGCTTGGTATTTTAAAATACCTCAATTTTGGGATACTGTCAGTTAAACAGACAATTTTGTTTAGTATAATTCGAGTATGGATCGAGAGAAATACAAGCACTTATGGATGTTCACAGAAGAGGCTCTAATGACAGTGTATGATTGATGAGTGGCACAACAAAGTGAAGTCTTTCTAGAAGAGATGATCCTGTGGGATGGATTCGGAGAGAAACATTCTATATAAAAGAAGCTCGTAGGTTTTTTTGTTTTTTTCTTTTAAGGCAAAGAAGGGAAGTTCAATGGTAGATTGAAGGAAAAGGTAGGAGTAGTTGTCTGTAAGAACCATATAAAGTGTGGTATGAGAGTGTCAAATGAGCTCGTACTTATGCAAAAAGGAGACAGTGAGAATTTTTAAAGTTTGAGAAATTTGGACATTTTTCACATTTTGAAACTTGTGTTTATTTTGATTCTATAAAAGCAAATTCTTAATCTCTTTAAGCCAATAGTCTTTATTATATTCATGCTAAACTTTTTTTTTTTTAAGGATTTCAATTTGTTGAAATGAGCAGTCGTAAATTAAAGAGCAACAACTTAAAACATTCAGAGTGCCTTTCACAGGTTAGTATATATTTTCATTAATTTCAAGGTCTGTTAACATGCAAAAGCGATCAGAGAAATAGTCATCTCAACTTGAATTCTCCCCTTAGCACTTGTGAAGAATCGCTCTCCATTCTCAAGGCGAGACTGTCTCATGCTACTTCTTAATTTCATCCTTTGTAAGTCTTTGGATAGTTGGAATCCTAACTTTACTCATGTCTTCCTAAATGTGGTCTGATTTCAGTTTAGTTTAATATTATCTTCAGAGTTTTATACTTCTTTATTTAAATTTATTCCTAAGTATTTTATTCCTTTTGATGCTAAGTGGAATTATTTTCTTAATTTTATTTTTGATTTGTTAATTGCTGGTGTATCTAAATGCAATTGACTTTTGTGTATTAATCTTGTATCCTCCAACCTTGCTGAACTCATTTATTAGTCCTAATAGTTTTTTAGGTTAGTCCTTAGGATTTTCTATATATGATTGCATCATCTGCAAATAGAGATAGTTATACTTCTTCCTTTCCAATCTAGATGCCTTTCATTTCTTTTTCTTGTGTAATTGCCCTGGCTAGAACCTTCAGTGCAATATTGAATAAAAGTGGCAAGAGCAGACAGTCTTGTTTTGTTTTTGATATTGAGGGAATGCATTCAGTCTTTCACCATTGAGTATGTTGTTAGCTATAGGTTTTTGTAGGTGCCGTTTATCAGGTTGAGGAAGTTCTATTATATTCCTAGTATGTTGAATGTTTTTATCATGAATGTTTAATATTTTCTTTTTTTTTTTTTGGAGGAAGATCAGCCCTGAGCTAACATCTGCCAATCCTCCCCTTTTTGCTGAGGAAGATTGGCACTGAGCTAACATCCGTTCCCATCTTCCTCCACTTTTTATGAAGGACACCTGCCACAGCATGGCTTGCCAAGCAGTGCCATGTCCTCACCCGGGATCCATACCAGCGGACCCCAGGCCACCGAAGCGGAACATGCAAACTTAACTGCTATGCCACCAGGCCGGCCCCTAATATTTTCTTAAGTGCATGCTGTTTTCCAAATGCTGAGGATATATCTGTATGTCTCTCTCTCAATGAGTCTAACAGGGAAAGGGCATGATATTTATGTGGCTTGACCAGGCTACATTTTTTTTAAATCAAAACTGAATGTTATTGCCATCCTTTTATAAGACCTTACTTTCTTTCTTTTTGAAGGAAACTGTTTAACTCTGTTCCAAAGAAATTTTCTTAATTGAAGTATAATTTACATGTTTTTGTAAAGTGCACAGATCTTACATGTACAGCATAATTAATTTCTGTATATGTATACACCTGTTTAATCTGCATCTCTGATCACTTTGGAATTTTTGAATCTCTGACTGGTCATTATAGCTTTACTTCACTTTATCCCTCTGTTATATTTTATACATAATTGTTTCCTCTGTAATAGACTTTAATGAAGTGTAAAAACAAAAAGGACTGAGGTTTGTCTTTTGATTTCTAGTCATCTTATCTAGGTAGTGGAATACACATTATGATTAATTGAGTGTATACTCTCATTGAAGTGTTTCACAGGTATCAGCTGTTACCTGTACAATACCAATATTATGTTAGTGCTAGCTGCCTTATTTGATCTTCAAAACAGGCCTGCAAGAATTATTGTCTCCATTTTGTAGATAAAAGAATTAAAATTTAGAAAAGGCTAACTTCAAAATTCATATAATTGGCTCTTCTGGCACCAATCCTCTTACTCTTTCTACTTCCTCTATAACAATAAATATGGATTCTCAGTGAATCGTTTGCTTTGCTTAGCCTCTGCTACGTGTAAAGAGAACTGAGATTTATCTCTTTGGTATGTGAAGGATCAGTCCCATGCTGTCAGTCTGAGAGAAGCAACTAATCTTGGAGGCTTCTTGTTTCTGCTGATAGGGCCAAATCTGAAACAGCCTCTAAAGGGTTTTATCCCTGGAGGACCTCTGTATTAGCAGCACATGCAGAAAAGGAGTGACTTTAATGGTCCATCTTTTTAAAGAATGTGCTACATTGTCTGGCATAATTTTTTACAACTGAGTCTAAGCCCTTCATTCTAAGCCAAATTCAAAATGTAGCTCTTTGCAAGAATTTTTTTCTTAATTTATCCTAACGATTCCTTATTTTATAGCCTAGATGAAGTGATTTCTTCCATATAATTGAGCATTTCCTTATATGCTGAGTTACTGCTTTTTTGCAGGTTGCTTCTAATGTGTCATGCCTTTCCAGTGTATCTGCACTGGTTTTTTAAGACATGGATCAAGGTCTTTTAGTAGTATTGTTCTCTGCAACTATTAGGTCCTCAATAACTATATGTACTTTTAAACTTCTTTTATTTCCTCAGAATCCTGGCTTTTATGACAGGTACAGATTAACTGGGCTTTCGTTAAGTCGGTTTAGATGTCTTGGTCTCTAGAGATTGAGGTGTGGTGCATGAGCATTATTAGATTAAATAACATTATTAGATTCTCTTCTGTCTTTGTTCCTTGGCTGACACGTTATACAAAATGAGGTATTTATTCATTTACGTCCATTAAAACATCCCTCAATTTACTGATGTAGCTAAAAATAAGTTCTTTTCCCTCTTGTTGAAACCTTCACAACTAAATTCTCATCCTTTCTCTGGGACTTGAGATAGGTAAAAAGAACTTAATTTTACAACTCATGAAAATGGTGCCAGAGCTCTTGAAGACAAGTTATTTAGGAAGGGTTGAATTGATTCTTTAATACCTTATTCTGCTATAAATGTATATTCTCATCCATTTTTGATTGCATATATAATATTTTCATTTATATTTATTCACTTTATTTTCATCAGGTACAAAGAATTTTACGTGAAAGATTTTGTCATCAGAGTCTACATAGTAACCTGTTTGGAGTACAAGTACAATATAAGTAAGTTTATCTGTCCCCTTCATATTTCCTTCTGAGTCTACACCCTTTAGGTTTTGCAAAAATTGTCATATACAAATTAGATCTTAAACAAGGCTAACAAACATTTTTTTTTTGCGGTAAAAAATTTTACTTTGTGTATAGAAACTCTGAATACAATGAAACAAGAGCAGATATAAATATTTCCATAATGAGAAAGCCCTTTAACTTTCAAAGTGTCTTGTGTTTCTGTTATCTCATATTATGGAGAGAATTCTTAGCTTCTTGCACTAATACTCAGCAGCCAGCTGTGGAATGAAAGATCCTAAGAGTTGCCACCCTTGTCCCTTGTCCCATATCATCATAAAGACCAAGATATTTCAAACTTACTTTGTTTCCTCTTGAGGTTTCCAGAGAATCAATATTGGCCTACACTCTCTTCTGTGTTGTTCTGTGTAGGACTGTTTAGAGCATAAGTCAAGTGCGCAGAGGGAGAGAGAAGAGGAATGCCTGTTTTTTGTGCATATTCAAATTCAGCTTTTAAAAAGTATTACCTAACAAATTATTCTAGCTTTTCTTTTTAAATTTTGGCCTATTTATGTCATTTCAGACACTTAATTGAGCTGCTAAAAAGAACTGCTATCTATGGAGAAAGTAACTCTGTTCTCATTATTGGACCCCGAGGATCAGGAAAGACCATGGTAAAAGCTGTTGATTTGTGGTGTGTGTTTGTTTTGGTAGTCGTGTGATGATTCTTATAAACAACATCAAAAATGTTTTTCATTATTTTGTTACTAACATTTTGCTTTTTTTTTTTCATTGTAGAAGACATGTAAAGCCTTTAAGGTGTATATTTGAGTTGAGCATATCTTTTTTACCTTATTTTTCCCCACAGTAACAAATTTTTAGCTGATGTTCATTCCATCATGATCTTTTGTCCTTGAAGAATTAGTGATTGCCAGTGGAAAAAGCAAAGTAACATTTATTGAGCATGTACCTTGTGCCTTTTATCTATGTTCTATCACTTATTCTTTACACATAGATTAGGTAACTATCATACCATGCATTCTTTTTTTCCCTATTATTTTATTGTTTATTGTTTAACCCTAACGCAAGCAATTTTTTTCATATGTACACTCACATCTTCTAGAAGTCTCTTCTTCTTTCCCTCTTTATCATATTTGCATAGTTACCTCAAAAAAATACTCTTGTTTGGGGCCGGCCCCAGACAATATGCAGCAGTTAAGTTCGCACGTTCCGCTTCAGCGGCCCAGGATTCACCAGTTCAGATCCCGGGTGCAGACATAGCAGCGCTTGGCAAGCCATGCTGTGGCAGGTGTTCCACATATAAAGTAGGGGAAGATGGGCACAGATGTTAGCTCAGGGCCGATCTTCCTCAGCAAAAAGAGAAGGATTGGCAGCAGATGTTAGCTCAGGGCTAGTCTTCCTCAAAAAGAAAAAAGAGAGGACGAAAAACAATACTCTTGTTTTTTTCCCTTATTCTCTTTTCACCTTCTTCAATATAGGAGACCAATTATAGCTGTTACTTTGAACAAATTACTATTTAATTTTAAATAGTTGGACTGTGTAAAATCTGTTTTCTGCTATATTCAATGTAATAAATTTAGAGTTCTCACTAACATGCTTTTTTTATTTGTAGAAGTAAAATTATGCATTAACTAAAATTATGTAAGATAGAAGTAAAATTATGTTGTTTTTTTAAGAGGTATCTGTTGACTGTATATTATGTAAAGATGAGTAAATTAGGACTTTAAGATTTTACTATTATCACCCGTTTCCAGTATTGTTTGAAGTCTAAATTGGGACTGGAGATCTAGATAATTTCTTTTTTAATCTTTTAAGAATTTTTCACATTTATTATATTATAATTATATTTACAGTAATTTTTTAGTTTTGACTTTATGTTTAATTTGGTTTAGTCTATAATGCTCGTTCCTTTTATACAACCACTATTTATTTTTGAGTTCTTTCTTATGATTTTCCTTTGTGTTTGACTTCAGTGCTGTTTTGGAGAGTTTTTACAAGAGAACTATGTGACTAATATGCTTTGGAGCTATTAGGATATTTTAAATGATTAATAATTCTATTAACAATAGAAAAAATGAGCAAAGGATGTGCATAGAAAAGTCACAGAAAATTAACTACAAATAGATCGTAAACTTATAAACATGTTCAATTTTATTTATAATTAAGTAAATTAAAAACTATAGTAATTTTCTCTATTAGATTGACAAAAAACCTGTAAGATTGATAACACACTAAATTTATGAATTTATGGGGAAATACTCACACATGTTCCTGCTGGTAGTGTAAATTGACACCACTAGAGTTAGACAAAATCTAACCACATTACAAATGCCTGTACTCTTTGACTCAGCAACGTTTCTAGGAATTTACACTTGAGAAATGATGTATGTGCAAAGTTACTCATTACAGCACTGTTTGCTAATAGTGAAAGATGCAACATAAATGCCCACCAACAGGATACTGGTTAATAAATCGTGGTGCATCCATACATGTAGTAGACTATTATACAGCAGTAAAAAAGAATAAGGGAAAATTTGTGTATTTCAAAAAGGGAAGAGAAAAAAGGTTCATATTTCTATTGGTTTGTATGTGGACCAAAAGTTCCTTGAAATATTAAACCATAATAATATTGGGTTATTTGTTGAGGGGAGTAGGACCTAGGCAAACAGGAACAGGGATAGGAAACTTTTCACTGCATAGGTTTTTATACTTTTTGATGCATGAACTATATTACTATACAGTCTATTTAAGAAACTAAAGAATGAAAAGTTGGTTGAAGGCAAAGGGAAAAAAATCCCAACAATCTGGTTAACACAACAAATCACTAAAGCCATCCAGACCACAGAAATATAAAAGAGAAAGGAAGGTTATGGGATTTTGTGTTGAATTTGTAGATCACATGAGAAGAATTGATTTTTTAACTATTGAATCCTCACATTCATGAATGTGGAATATCTCTCCATTTATCTCTCATTTATTTAGGTCTTTCTTCAGAGTTTTGTGGTTTTCCTCATATAAATCTCATACATATTTTGTGAGATTTATACCTAAGTACTTAATTTTTTTTGGTGCTATTTTGAATAGTATTATGTTTTTATATTTCAAGGAAATAGGAAAGCAAATGACTTTTGTGTATTACCTTATATCCTGCAACCTTGCTATAAGTGAGTATCAGTCTTGGTATTTTCTACATAGACAGTCATGTCATCTGCAAACAAAGACAGCTTTATTTCTTCCATTCCTATCTCTATCTATACCTTCCATTTCCTTTTCTTGTCTTACTGCATTGGTATTCATAGGCTATATCTAAGCATTGATCATAAAATTAACTGATATTATACAAACCCTCTTAATATGAACTTCACTAAGGAATAATTTTATTTTTCAGTATATCTTCAGTTTCATTTCTTCTTGTCTTTTCTTAGGATTAGAGTATCCCATTATTAAGCCTTTGTTCTTATTTCTCTGTGTCATTTCTCCTTCGTTCTCTCTTTTCATGTTTTTCTTTTTCTCCCTCAGCATTCTACCATATAACCAATGTGATTTTATTCTTTGTCAGTTCTGTTGTCGTCTTCTTCTGATATGATATTGCATTTTCATTTTCTAATAATCCTTCCTTCTTGTCCAGCTACTTGTCATGTACCTTCTTAGTCTGGTGTTTTGTGTTTGTCTTAAGTCTGGCTTAAATAGCTCAAAACATTTATTTTCTAAAATACACATTTTCAGTAGTAATTAATCTCTTTTCATCAGCTTGTTGTTACCTTTCTTTCATGTTATATCATCTTTTTATAAACTCATGTCATTTTTTTCTTTTTACTCCGGTTTAAAGAAGGAGACAGCCATTAAGGCATACTATTTATCAGTTAATAAAATGGGTATATTATTCTTGGCATACCGACACTTTATCCATTTGTTGTTACTTCTTAAATGAGACCCCTGTTCTGGTGCTGTGGAGTCATTTATCTAGCATGACTTCACTGGAATGTGGAAGAATCCCCTACTTGGTGTTCCATTTTGGTACAATTTAATTTATTCCTTCTGCAATATTGAGAAGTCAAAGAGCTAAAGAGCATTGTTTAACTTGTGCGACTTTAGTAATTCTTAGACAAGAACTATCATTAGTATAATTATGTAAATTCAAATTAAAAAAATAAGATGATAGTATATTTAAAATACCGTCTTTGGCCAAACTACCTGAAATGTGAAAATTGAAAATCTACAGTTAATTGGTAAAGATAATGGATAGTGTGGTTTGTTATATTTCAAACATTTTGTTTCCAAAATATAGATATGATTCCAAATGACAGATTGGATCTTGGAAAATATTCTTTTATATAGAAATTACTGTAGACAGAAAAATTTGCTGGATGGCTCAATAGGATGTTTCTTCTAATTGGTGTTTCTTCTAGTTGCATATCGCTGAATCTTGTGTTTATTAAAGAGTTTGGGAATAGTAATAGTAGGTTAGCATAAAAATCCCTGGATAGGGCCATCCTGGTGGTGCAGCAATTAAGTGTGCACATTCCACTTCAGCAGCCTGGGGTTCACCAGTTTGAATCCCAGGTGCGGACACGGCACCGCTTGTCAAGCCATGCTGTGGCATGCATCCCGCATATAAAATAGAGGAAGATGGGCATAGCTGTTAGCTCTGGGCCAGTCTTCCTCAGAAAAAGGAGGATTTGTGGCTGATGTTAGCTCAGGGCTAATCTTCCTCAAAAAAAATAAAATAAAAATCTCTGGATATTGGCAGGTCTAAGTGAACTATGCCAGTATGTTTGTAGAATTAATTTTTCGCTGCAAAGAATGTGCAAATGGAGTAGCCAAATTGGTTATGTTGCTTGTTGTAACATTAATAACCAACTAAATTTTTTTAGTCTATAACGTAGTGTAAAATATTGGAAAAAATTACAGTGTATTCATGAAAAAATCTGGCTTAAATTACATTATTGGTTACCTAGCTAATTATACAGTAAATTTTACCAATATCCAGATTAGAACTGAAATTATTTGAAGACATACTTGCTAATACATTTAAATTATTATTTCAGACCATACACACTGCCCATAAAAAAGTTGTGAGCTGATTCAAGCGAATTAAAACTTACTGTGTAAAGTAAATTCAATGGAAAGAGTGCTCTAAAGCTGTTATGACTCTTTGTGCATATGTAATATGAAAGTATTATTATTAACCTCATTTCATTCTGCAGAGTATTTAAAATGGTTTTCAACAATTCATCAAACATAAAATGATTTAAAACATAAAATCAGAGCCAGGGAAATATAAATATTATGTAAGTAAAATAACAAGAGATGGGGGCAAGAACATAGCAGATTCCTAAGAAAATATGGCAAAGGCAATATTTTGAGAGCTTGTATCACCTGGGGACAAACTCTTGTGATAGAGTCTCACTTGATCCAAAGGCAGAGAATTACCACCTCATCTTCTGACAGTTCTCTATCAAGAAAGTCACTTCTCACCTAGGCTTTTACTCATAGTATGACAGTTGATATTTTGAGATTGCCCCTTTTTAAGAGGACCTGGACTACCTATGATCTAAAGTAGAATTGCATATGCTTTAAAAACCATACAAATATACCAGGAATGGCTAGTATGTTTGATATCCCATTGTGAAACTTAATAATTTAAAATGAGGATATTTGCTTCTTCCTATTGCACAAAGATGTTGCAGTGACAGATAGAAGTAGAATATTGCAAATACAAATAGTATTTTGTTTTTCAGAGTAGTTTACCAGACATCCCAGTGTCTTTGTTGAATAATCCTATTTGTCCTCACTAAATTTTGATGCCATCTTTACTAATTTTTTTTGTGTGTGTATATACAGCCTGTTTTGCTAGACCACTTATTTTGTGGTGTTACCTTTTATTTTAACATTAGAAAGAATAGTCCTTCATCATTGCTCTTACTTTTAAAAAGACTTTTGGCTTTTCCTAACTCTGTTCATTTTCAAATTTTAGAAAATGTATGCAGTTTTAATATGAAGAGATATGATATTGTAATATGAGTGATAAGATGTCACAAATCAAAAAATATAAAGGATGTAAATGTGGCATAGAAACCTGTAATTATAAAAACATGAACCTTTATAATTGAACAGTTGAAGGTGATATAATACTTTCTGAGTATATTTTTAGTAATGAATATTAAAAGTATATTATTAATAATAATAATTATTTTTCTTGCAAGCTTTAAGTTTCTTTAATAAGGACTTTCTCTCTATACCTGGCAACTAACAGACGGAACATCTCTTTTTCACCTTAACCTCTTGGTATTTCTTTTTTGATTTTCATTTCATGATAACATACAAAATAGTTCATGGTATTTCATAGAAATTGATATTTGAGGGATAGACTTTTTGTAAGCATTTAGCATTTTTCAATAGCTTTTAACTGATTTCAGTGATATTTAGTAGGATAAATGTTTGAGATGTATAATGAACTGAGACATGAAGTTCTTGAGTGGCTATAGTTTTATGTGACTTGTAGAGAAATATTTCTTTGAAAACTCAAGGTTGTTTATAAACATTTACTAGAAGTTTGGGTAGATGACTGAGAGAATGTGACATCAGTCTTGGCTCTGGCATCTTAAGAGTCAGTCAGACATTAGATGTTCTAGTTAAACCTTTTATCTGTAAAGAATCTATAAATTTATTTGTTAATTTAAAATAGCAATATGTTTATATTCTCCTCATGTTACTCATAGTTTGAAAAAGAATATGAGCTTATCATCTTTTGCGTATCATTAACTACTTTATTAACTTTTTAATATTATTTAGTTAATAAACCATGCTTTGAAAGAATTAATGGAAGTAGAAGAAGTGAGTGAAAATGTATTACAAGTTCACCTAAATGGTAAGTATGTCATCATTTGCTATTGGAAATTATATAAGCCATGTGAACTTTTTATAGTATGAAACTAAATTCACTTGTAGGTGTTTTAAATCTGGATTAATTATTATATTTTGAAAACTTAGATCTATGTTTAACAACTTTTGCTTTAGCACTCCATATACAATATTTTTAGAAAGTAAAACAAAATAATAATACAGGAGGCACATAAGGACTCTTGTTTTTTGTCTTTTTCTTTTCTTTCTTTTTAAATAACACTAACCTCAAGGAAGCTGGTTCTTTGAGTCTACCAAACATCTTCATGGCTGAGTTTTAAAAAGGAAATAATGTAAACTAACAGGCTTTGATTTTTTTCTTTCTAGTTAAATTTAAAAAGCATTAGAAAATTTACTTAACTGGAAAATAATCTGCACTGTAGCAAATACATATTTCATTTTAATTAAATACTTTTAAATGGCCTTTATTTCAGGACTGCTGCAGATCAATGATAATATTGCCCTAAAGGAAATCACAAGGCAGTTAAATCTGGAAAATGTAGTTGGAGATAAAGTTTTTGTAAGTATCATTTCCATTCTTTTATTAAATAGGCTTTAAAGTCAAGTCTGTATAACATAGATATTTTTTTATTTTTGTAAAGCTAGGGAGGATTCGGAGATTCTCAATTGAAATATGCAAGATTCTTTTCATAAAAATGTATAATGTACTAGGATGCATTTTTGCATCAAATCTTTGTTTCGATTTTTTGGGGGATAGATTATACTAGCTATAAAATATAGCTGAGAAATTCAGGTTTTGTAGATATCTGTATTTGTCTCTTTATCTGTAAGATAAATATTTGGATTCTCTATCCTTTGAGATAGGTTAACATATTTTTAAAAATATTACACTCTAGCAGTCTATTTCCAATCTTCTGAGACTTGGGTTGCATGGAAGTAGTGGTAAATGTGCTGAATTTGAAGCGACAAAAGTTAGATTTGAATCATCCCTTAAGAACCCATTGACTGCTTGGTGATCATGGTCTAATGAATATTTCTGATTTCAGATTCCTCATCTGTTAAATGGGCATTATCTTATTATACTTACTCCACAGATTTATTCTAAAGACAAAAGGAAGCATTAAACATCATTTATGTTTAAAAAAAATACCAGATGGTAATGTACTATACAAATGTTAGTTATATCTTATTATTAAAATGTTTTCAGGAACTTACCCATACCTCATTGTTGTAACAGCTTGGAATTTCAGGACGGTGAACATCAGTAACTTAAAGAAACTGATTAGAAGTGTTTTGGAACTTTTATTAAACTTTTTACCTATCACTTGATTTATAGGGCTCAACAGAAGAAACATGATTAACTTAATTTGCAGGTTCCTTAATGTTCATGATGAAATGACTCATCCTTATACTGCTTATGCAATTGAAGTAGGTTATATACATTCCAAGTTCATTTTCTAGTCGCTGGTGATCATGAAACTTGGTCACTCTAATCTCTAAACTGTGTATACTCTACTGCAGTGACACAGCCATAGTTGTGTAAGCCTCCTAATATTTAGTAATTTTATTCTTTGATAATTATCTGTAACAAGTTGAGCCAGTCATGTGTTACCCTTTCATTGTCCCCAGGTCTTTGAATTGCAAGTTCAAAATGCCCCTTCTATAAATCTAATGTTCTACTTCTGTTCAGAATGTAATGTTGAACATAGTAGCCTACTTGGTAAAAGAGAGTTACTATCACGTAGGCTCAGTTTGGCTTTTGGTTTCCAATTGATATAAATTGGTGTTTCCAACTTTCCTAAATGAACCTATTCATATTGGATTCATAGGAAATAATAAAAGGTGCAGTTGTTTATCATCCTAGTCAACACTATTGTTATCATAATCATCACATATAAAGATTATTTGTCTAACTTCTACATTATATTGATTAGGCACTTCAGGCTCAGAGAGCATAATTAGCTTGCCTGAAGTCATAAAATGGCAAAGGGCACAAAATATGCGGAAGTTCTTAAGAACCTATTATGCTATTTATGTCAGTTCTCTCGATTGGGAAACAAATAAGTGGGGTTTTTTCTCCTGTACATCTCCTCAAATTTAAAGTTGGCTGTTTCTTTAAATTAAAAAGTGTGAATGGGGGCCAGCCTGATGGCATAGTGGTTAAGTTCGAAAACTCTGCTTTGGTGGCCTGGGGTTCGCTGGTTCAGATCCCAGGTGCAGACCTAGCACTGCTTATCAAGCCATGCTGTGGCACGTGTCCCACGTAAAAAGAGAGGAAGATGGACACAGATGTTAGCTCAGGGCCAATCTTCCTCAAAAAAAAAGACTGAAGGCAATAAAAATTAAGTACCCCTATCCACAAGCTGGAACATCTGGATAATGCATCTACTGCTCTATTAATTTCCATCTAGAATATTTAAGTTGTATCCAAAAAAGTTTGGCTGTGAACCAAGTAAACATAGCCAAATTTGATATGATATATACAAATGCTATGATATACCCTTTAATAGAAAAACACCTTTGTAGTGTCTAATATTTGAGGCAAATTTCATCTCCCTTTTCCTTTTGGATCTCATTTAAATTCATGGGCAGTTTTTTAGCAGTACAAACTAATATGAGACTTGCAAGAGCCTGATGTGTTTGAAGATACAAAATGCAACAGATTTCTAGTTCTCTGACTGTATTTAGAATGTAGCAACTCTTAAAAACTACCTTTAAATAAAGTTAACATTTTTATGGATTTTATCCAGAAAATATAAAATTTTGAACTTGACTTAGTAATGCTATTTTCAGTGCTGTGCCGTGTCTGCTTTTATATTTAATATAAGTTTTAGATTGTAAGCATGGAGATATTCAACTAAGAATCTGGCCAATGCCTATAATTTACTAGAAAAAAATACGTAGTATCTATATAATGTCTATGAGTCAGATAGCTCTCTTTTATTTTTTATTTTACTAAATTTCTAGTCATGGTATTTTTTTTTCTTATTTAGGGAAGCTTTGCTGAAAACCTTTCATTTCTTCTGGAAGCTTTAAAAAAGGGTAAATATTAGCATACTTAACAATATAAAAAGATATTTGTTTAGCTTTGTTTTTCCCCTGACTATAAAGGTAATACATACTTTTACAAAAAAACTAATAAAATAAATATAAAAGAATGATCACTGTAATCCCACCACTGTAATAGTGATCTTTCCAGTTAACATTGACTGTCATGTCTTTATTCACCTGCAGTATGTCATTGATATAGATAGACATAAGAATAAAATCATTTTCCATATTATTGTGTAATCTGCATTTTTCCACTTACTAACAGTATCTCGTGAGGATCTTGTCATGTCATTAAATATTGAGCTGCATCATCATTTTTATCATTCTCATATTCTGTTTTATAAATATAAATTAACTATAGTTAAAAATTATCAGGATAATGAATTAAAACATTAATCACCAATTATGGACTTCTATTTCTAATTTTGTATAATTATGAAGAAATGCTTAGATGATCATCCAGATATTTCCTGGGGTAAATTTCAATGAGTTAAATTCTAGGTTAAAAGATACTACATTTAAAAGAATAAATATTACCAAACTGCCCCAGAAGGTCCATTTTCTAAACATATTTAGGAGTACCTTTTTCTTCACAACTTCAAAAACAATTATTAATTTTTATGTTTGCCTAATAGAAAAAATTATATCTCGGTTTAATTTGCATAGTTTTCATAGTGATTATGCTCATCATTTCATATTTTTATTGGCCACTGATATTTCCTGGTTTGTATTTCCTGTTGGTTCTTTGCCTTATTTTGGTGATGTTTATCTTGTACTTATTTATGGGAAATCTTGCACTGATTTTTTTTTTCTCTTCTCTTAAATTTGGTTTGGAGTTTTCTGCTGAATGGAAGTTTTAAATTTTTTACATAGACAGAATTTTTTCTCTCCTTCAGATTTTGAAGACGTTCACTTATGTTTTCATCTAATACACATGCTTAGAATTCATAATTTGCCTGGAATTTATTTTGGTAAAGTGTAAATTGGAGCTTTAACCTTGACTATACTAATTTTCCCCATTGATATGTAACCCTATATTTTATCAAATACTAGATTTCTTTATTATGTAAGTCTGTTTCTAGACTTTTGAGTAGTTCCTGTGGTGTTTATGCCATTTTAGGTTAGCGTATTTTTTTATCTGTTGGAGTGTGTCCCCTTACCAGATTTTCTTTTCATTTTTTTATAGAAATATAAAATCTTAAACCTTAACGTAATAGTGATTCTTTGAATGCTAAAGTAGTTTCCATTGTTGTGATGAAAAAAATGATTCACAGGCATGTTGAAATTTCCTCTGTTGTTGAAGTATTAAAATTGTGGTTAGAAAGAGTTAAAGTGGCTTTGGTTGAACTTCATGGTCTAGCTTATAAAAATTATTCCTGTAGGAAGGTATACTTTGCATTTCCACTAACTAAACAGTTCTCTTTTGAAGCAATAATTTTTTTCATAAATTAATGACTTCCTCTATATTTTAATCCCGAAGTGTTTTGGGCTATGTAGATGTTAAAAGATCCCTGTCAATTTTAAACAATAGTTTCCACTCATTTAAATGACTGTCTCAATTTTTTCAACAGTAAACTACTAGAGTCTAGTAATTAGGCTGTGAACCACTTGAAGGCAAGGGAGAATATCTTGTCCTGTGAATAATGTTTTTTGTTTAATAAATGTACATGCATTGGTAAGTGCTCTACCCAGAGAATGTTATCAGTATATGTTTGTTGAATTTTAAAAATGGAAATATAGTAATTAGTTTGGAAATTTAAGAAAGGTTGATATAATTGCTTGTTAATATAAAACTCTTATTTTATCTTAGGTGACCGGACTAGTAGTTGCCCAGTGATCTTCATATTAGATGAATTTGATCTTTTTGCTCATCATAAAAACCAGACACTTCTCTATAATCTATTTGACATTTCTCAGTCTGCACAGACTCCAGTAGCAGTTGTTGGTCTTACATGTAGATTGGTAAGTCTTTCTTTCTATTAAAAGAATTGATTGTGATATTTAGAAAAATTAAAGCTCACTGACATAGTCACTTATGTATGTCATTATATTAAGCATTTTTTCAAATGTGTTCTACCAATGCCTGGTACATTTATCCTACTTTTCAACTCAGATTGAGGAAAACAAGAAAACAGTTATCACATATGCTCATAAACTAATACCTCCCTCCTTCCAGTGGAATCACTGCATAAAAAATGTAAAGTCAGATTATGCTAATAAATATAATTTCTATATTAGCAAGTAAAGAGAAAATTAAATAATCTCTCCACCATTTTGTAAAATCGCTAATAGTTTCTACTTTTACATTTAAGATTCTTTCCATATTTTGAAAATACTTGGACTCAACTCAAAATGATAGTATCCCAACTTTGTAAGTACACATCTCCATAAATGGAAGGGATTCTTTCTATCAAGCTGTCACAGTAGATAGGAGCTTCTTTGCTCGTTGGGGGATTTTAGAATGATTTTCACCATTCTGTCAATGTCACTATCACATTACTTTGTGAAGACTTTACATGTTGAACTTTGTGTACCTTTGGACAGCTACACAGGCCTTTTTGTGTTTACCTTCTTTTTCTCTCATATGAACTTCCGTATTGAATTCACACAAAACTGATATTTAAAAGTCACCTCTCTTTTTCATACTCTGGCTGCCATTCATCCATAGCTTTCATCCTTTTCCCTTCTCCAGTCCTGGCAGGCTTATGTCAGACCCATTTACTTATTCTCCTTTCCTGCAGCTCTTTCTCTTTTTTAGAAAAGTGAAACTCTTTACTAAGTCATCTTTCAACAGTCCTCCTTCCAGTTGCTGTTTTTCTGTGAAGTGGCTTTCTCTGTCCTCCTTCCCCAGTGCTCTAGAGCTTATGATGTATGCCTTCATAATAAGCCTCCCTCATAGAACATCTGGCTGGTTCTTCACATATCTTTATTCCTTCTTGCCAAAAGCAGCAGTTTATCATAGAAGTTAAGGAAGTACCTTCCTTCTTGCTAAAAAATCTTCCTTTGCGTGGAAGTGGCACTGGCAAATGTTATTGACCCTGTAAAGGACCAAATAAAGTCTCAATAGCTCCTTAGCAGTGTTACCAGATTCTCTTTTTTATTCTGTATGTATACTTCTCTAACTGTGCTGTTCTTCAAGTCTATCTGTGTGTCCATGTTTATAGAGAAAGAGCAAAGGGATAGATGGAGTCGTGACTTTGCTGGCAAACAACCTCTTCCCTGTTGAAGTAACTCTTTTTTTCACTATTCCCTCTATCTCCACCTTGCCAACATCTGTCATTAATGTCCACCACTAAAATATCTTTTACTTGCATCTCTTTCTTTTCATTCCCAAGTTTAGGCTCTTAATTATTGCTTGCATAGAGTGTTGCTCCCACTAGCTTTTCAGCCACCTACCTGTATGGTTGCTTCTAGAACTGCTCCTTAATAGCAAATAAATGTATAACACTACTGTCTCTGAATGTAACTTCCGTTTAGTTCTCTTATGCCTACACCATATTTTTCTTTAACCTGTAAAAAACATTCTAGGTTTTTCATTCACCCTCTCCCTTCCAACCCCAAGCTATTAATCTTTCCTGTCTTCCTTCCCAAACTAACCACGATCCCATTTTGATCACTTGAATCTTTTCCTCTAAATCATTGGTTTCTTAACCTAGCTATAGTGAAAATCATCTGGGTAGATTTAAAAATCCTTGTTTCTGGGCCTCACCCCAGCTTTTTTTGTTGTTAACTTTTTTAACTATAGAAAATTGACACTAAACTTGGTTTCTAACGTTTTCTTAAGGAAAAATAGCACAAGTACAAGTAGTTTCTAAAATATCACTATAAAAAAGCCAAAAGAATAATTTGTCAATAACGTGCCAGTTTCCTCTTTGACAGCCTGTTCTTCAGTCCAGCAAGGCTTCAGGTTAAATTTGTAGGTAGTTTAGTGAACTGAACTTGTCTCCATTACACATGCTGCTTCTTGAGTCTTTTTACATAAAACAATGAAGATGTTTAAATTTTCATGAATGTAATAAGCCTTACTACATTTTATTATCTTAATTTTTCATCTGAATTCTTCGTGGAATGTATGAAATTCCTTATTGAAACTCTTGATGTTACTGTGGCGTATAACTATTCAATAATAGTTATAATTTTTTTAGCTTTTATTGTAGGTCTTGCAATGTTAAAGATTAGCTGAGAATAACATGGTAGGGAAAAGGCATGGCATCATCAGGCCTACAAATGCTTAGAGGGGCGTTATTTAAAGTAGCTTGCGTAAAAATTGTGTTTAGAGGTTTGGTTTATTTCTGAGCCACACTCTCACCTCTACTGCCTTGTAACCCTAAGGAGATCAGGGGAATAATTTGAGTTTTTAGAGGCTTGCATAAATTTTTTTAAATGCTTAATCGTGTATTATGGAATAAGCATTGCTAATTATAGGTGATAGTTCAGATACTTCTAACATTGGTTTTTTTTTTTGTTTTTAACATGCATCTTATGGAGATTTTTGTTTGTTTTTAAGGATATTTTGGAACTCTTAGAAAAAAGAGTGAAGTCACGATTTTCTCACCGGCAGATACACTTAATGAATTCATTTGGTTTTCCACAGTATCTTAAAATATTTAAAGAACAATTATCTCTACCTGCTGAATTTCCAGACAAGCTTTTCGCTGAGAAGTGGAATGAGAATGTTCAGGTAACTTGGAACAAAGGCAGTAATGTTGAAGTAATTTAGTGTCTTGCCATATCATTTGAAAGTAATTAAGACTTATGGATTTTTAGAATTTGTAAATTCACGCAAAGCTTCTAATGTTGCTGTGGCATACAACTGCATGAATACAAATTATACACTTTTGTGTGTATGTATTTTCTTCTTTTAAAAGACAATTGAAATGTCATATCTATTAAATTTTTTCTGTGAAGAGAACTTTCAGGAGATTTTTGTTTTATTTATATCTAGTTTACATTTTAGGTTATTTTGTTAATGAATTTCCATCATAAAACATTTATTTTCTTCATTTTACAAGTTTAGCAATGTTAGCTTAGTGGTTCATACCTTCCTATCTAGTGTGGATTTCTTTTGTTTTTTTGAGGAAGATTAGCCCTGAGCTAATATCTGCCACCAATCCTCCTCTTTTTTGCTGAGGAAGATTGGCTCTGAGCTAACACATGTGCCTGTCTTCCTCAACTTTATATGTGGGGTGCCTGCCACAGTATGGCTTGATAAACAGTACATAGGTCCACACCTGGGATCTGAACCAGTGAACCCTGGGCTGCTGAAGCAGAGTACACAACCTAACTACTATGCCACTGGGTCCACCCCCCAGTGTGGATTTTTTTTTCCCGTTCTAAACAGCTTCAGTTTTTATGTTACTGGGTCTGTTAGGGTAATCTAGTCTGTGGCACATCTAGTTACATTATCTACATTGGCCAATCCCATCTCGGAGTGGCTGGGGCCCTGAGAGTCTTAGCTATGCTACAAAGGCACATTCACATGTTGTTTTAAAGATTCCCTAGAGCTTGTGGACTCTGTAAATTTACCTACACTTAAGTTGAACAGCCTAACTTGTACAGGCCATTGTTATAGCAACTCAACATACTAGCATTGGTTTATCTTATGCTGACAAGAAGTTTCAGTTGGCAGTGGGAGAGTGTTATGTGTGTGTGTGTGTGTGTGTGTGTGTGTTTAATAACATAATTGAACAACAGTGTTGCTGAATAAATTCCACATGGTAGAATCTTGCAAAACTATGGGTACTGTGAAAGTGGAAAACAGTATAAGAGTCCTTGGTTTTGAAAGAATTGGGAAAAGCTAGTCTATAATATTAAATAGTAATGAGTGAGGATGATTGGATATCTGGATAACTAGAGTTACACAGTCTGTATTCACTGGCTCTAAAAGAAGATTGTTTTGTGTTAAAGCAACAATGATAATTATGTTTTTTTACTATAATCTTAAATATCAATACTGAATTAAAAGTGAGAACTTTGCATTTATTTTGCTTTTAAATGATTCTTATTTTTTCCCATCTTTGTTGAGGTATAATTGACAAATTAAAAGTTGTATATATTTAAGGTATTCAACTTGATGTTTTGATACACTTATACACTGTGAAACAGTACCATCAACCTATGTAATGTATTCATCACCTCACATAGTTACCATTTTCTTTCTTTTTTTGTTGTTGTGAGAACACAAGTTCTATTCTCTAAGCAAATTTCAAGTATACAATACTGTATTGTTAACAGTGGTCACATTGATGAACATTACATCTCCAGAACTTACTCATCTTGCATAAGTGAAACTTGATTCTTTTTTTGATTATAAAGTATAGTCTGTTCATGTAAGCACTCTTAATTTTGACGCATTTCGTTGTTTTAAATTAAAAGTTCATTGAACAAAATTTAATCAGTGCAGGGCCGGCCCGGTGGCGCAGCAGTTAAGTTCGCACGTTCCGCTTCTCGGCGGTCCGGGGTTCGCTGGTTCGGATCCCGGGTGCGGACATGGCACTGCTTGGCAGCCATGCTGTGGTAGGCGTCCCACGTATAAACTAGAGGAAGATGGGCACGGATGTTAGCTCAGAGCCAGGCTTCCTCAGCAAAAAGAGGAGGACTGGCAGTAGTTAGCTCAGGGCTAATCTTCCTCAAAAAAAAAAAAAAAAAATTAATCAGTGCATAAGAATACATGGTAAAAGGTAGAAATTTCCTTTTATCCATGCCCGTCCCCCTTCCTTTTACTACAGAGTAATTTTTTTGGTTTATAGCATTTCAGACCTTATATACATACTAAACTTATTGTTTTACATAAAGGATTCAAACTTTACATATTATTCTTTATCTGTTTTTACGTAGTTCTGATTGATAATTCCATATTATTTTTTCCTAATATAACTATACAGAATTGTATTGAAAAATGACTGACTTTATCCTTAAAATTCAGATATTGTTCTGTGATATAATTTGGTGTGGGTCCTCCCTTTTACCCTTCTCTCCAAATTAATCTTGCCTGGGACTCAAATATTTGTTAGTTCAAGCAAGTTTTCTTTAATATTGTGTCTGTTTATAAGATTCCATTCTTTAGGAGCACTTTATAATTGGTGCTCCCACATTGTCCCTTCTCTTCCTACATCTGGAGTGGATCAGAGCTCTGGATCTTTGGCCTCTGAATCCTCTTTTCAGTGCCACACAGACTTTCACCTTCTACAACTCCTGAACTGATTGTCTTGTTACGACAGTGTGTTTTTCTGACTGCTTTAGAAAGTCAAATGCTATTTTTCATAGTATTTAAATGTCTGCACTTCCTAGGTTTTTATTATTTCTATCCCTGCTCACTTTCTTTTCCTAAGATGAGTACACAGCCCAGGTAGTTCTGTGCTGTCATCCATCTTTCTGTCCTTTCCAGCTCTATTGCATTCTGAGCATCTCTGAGTGGGTATATAAAGGAAGTAGATGATGGGAGTTACTGGTGAAGCATAACTCTGGATGACTCAGAGAATGGTAACCATATGGTAGTTGAGTGACTAACTCTGAGGTTTTTGGTCCTTTTTTGCTGATTCTATGTCACTGACTTTAGGGGCAGATGGTAGGAGTGAATGTGAGGACTATCCTGTCATCTTTCTGACAATCTTGCAGTTCTTCCATAAGGTAGAACGAGTACCACTTGAGTTTGTGTCTCTTAGTTGTAGTATTTTCTTCCCCTTTCCTAAGCATCATTTACCACCTCCCTTTGGCATGCAAATAAATGGGCATCACTTGAAAAATATGTCAGCACCATGGCCAGAGGCCCTGTCCAGGAGGGTTTGGGGAGGCTGCGTTGAGGGAGCTATCCTTTCACTCAGTGCTGACTATCTAGGAAGTTTTTCTAATTCCAAGGTTATACCACAAGCAATGGTATAGATAACGGGTCACCTATGGAATCTCATCCAAGAAATATCTTCAGGGTAGGCTTGAACCTGGACATCCTGCTTAACTTGAATGTTTGTTTTAGCCCTCCTCCAAATGAGTCAGATAAGTAAGGAAAGTAAACACCATCTCTGCATGACAGAATAAGAGAAATCTCTGTGTAAAAGAACATTTAAAAGGACTGTAGCTAATTCTTCTCAAAAGACATTCCCCCAAAGTACAATTGCTCAGTTCAAGGAAGATTTACCTACTGTCTTAACCTTCCCTGTTTAGTTAACAGAAGTTGAGACAGTTTAGCAGTACTAAGAGACTTAGTACATAATGCTGCTGCCACTGAGTTATCCCTGAAGTAGCATGAGTCCTGAGGTACCAGTGTAATCCTGTAACATTCTGCTTTGAATCTGCCTGTAAAGAGGGCACTGCCAAGCAAATTGTGCAGTCAGCACAATAAGAACTTGCTCCTGTGACTGCTACTCATGTAAGTTCATCACTAAAAAGGAAACATATCAGCTTCCCTGAATAACAGGGAAGGTCTGCTTTATTTCCAGGAGTTTCCCCCATGTTCCTGTCAGGGGTGATGTCAGTCAGTCAGTCTCTGTCTTATTTCCCTTACGTCATTTCCTGAGCCAGCCATGAGGGAGTTTTCAATCCAGAGCAATAAGAAATTCAGTCATGTTTTGAAACCCAAGGTCTAATATCTTCAATGACTATCATATTTAATTAAATGTAGTAGGCATCCAATACATGGTTATTGATAATAGCCTTAGCCTTAACTTTATATATGTATAAATATATGTATGCTACAGATATGTATAGTTTATAGTGTTTGAGTGAACATGAAATTTAAAATGTAATGAGAGGTGTTTTTTAACGGCTTGCATATAGATCTTGTAGATGTTTTTTAAAAAAGCAGATTAGGGGGCCAACCCCATGGCTGAATGGTTAAGTTCATGCACTCCACTTTGGTGGCCCAGAGTTTCACTGGTTTGGACCATGGGTGTGGACCTAGCACTGCTCATCAAGCCATGCTGAGGCTGCATCCGACATAGGTGAGCCAGAAGGACCTACAACTGGAATATACAACTATGTACTGGGGGGCTTTGGGGAGAACAAGAAGAAAAAGATTGGCAACAGATGTTAGCTCAGGTGCCAATCTTAAAAAAAAAAAAGCAGATTAAGTAATTATAAAAGCAAGAGGGTGACAGCTTTCAGAAACAACGGGAGTTGGATTCACACCTCTGAAAATATAGAGATAAGCAGAAAAGCAGAGTATAGAAGATTCACCCTTTAATGTTTATCTTGTGTACTTCCAAAGGGTATTCAACCCTGTATATAGTAAAAAGGTACCAGCAAGTCTTTTAAAATAGAAAGAACTAAAAACAATGGGGAATGGGGTCTGTAACTAGGTTAATTTATTTACTGAGAACATAAAGCTTCATTCCATTAGACTAGAATTTATTCCTAAATCTGGATCTTCTTAACAGTGAAAGAAGTAGAGACATAAAGTTTTAGCTCTAGAAAATATAGAAGTACTTAGTTTTCTGAGCTTTTTTTTTTAAGGAAAAAGAATTCTTATCCCTTGCATATGATATTTGAAACATTATGTCAAGCTACTCCAAGCCTTTCTTGGCTCTGCCAACTCTGAATTTACTCTAATTTTTTCTTCAGTGCCAAGTGTACCTCACCTGTCATTAATCCTAATTCACTGCAGTCACTTGGCTCTTTTAGATACTGCTTTTTCAAAGGCCCTATTGATCTCTGAATTTCCAAAGCTGTTAGCTTCTTCTCAAAACATATCTTAATGTATCTTATCTTTTATATCTTAATTTAATATATCTTATAATATATCTTAATTATACAAAGTAGTTTACATTGTTGATTACCACTTCCCTCTTGAAGTTTTCTTCCCTTAGTTTCATTGCTCTCTCAGATTCTCTTCCAGTCTTCAGTATCTTTCTCAATCTCTTACTTTGTTCCTCTGTTCCATCTACTGCTTAAATCTTGATAATCTAAGTTTCACTTCTTGACCACATCTTACTCTTTGCTGCTTCTGCGACATTCTGTCCCCCATAGTATCATCTCTGATGTTTTTCTTCCCCTTCTCAAACCCTTCCTCCCCTACTCCTTACTAGTTGATCCTCCATCAGACATATCTTCTATAAATGTCTTAATTCTCTCTTGTCTTCATACTGCTGTATTAATTCAGACCCTCTTTGTCTCTTGTATGGACAATTGCCATTGCCTCCAATTAGGTTTTCCTGCCTTTATCTTTCTGCATAATCACTTTGCCAATAACTGCAATTCAGGATTACATGACTACTCATCTTCTGTCAGTATGCCACACTCTTCCTACATTGCTCATGCTACATGTTCCCTGTAATTGGAATCCTCTTTTTTTTAGCCTATTGCCTCATACAGTTTAAGCATTCTTTGTAATACTTTACCTTGTTTTCCCAAGTACAGTAACTTTTTTTTTAAAGATTTTATTTTCCTTTTTCTCCCCAAAGCCCCCCAGTACATAGTTGTGTATTTTTAGCTGTGAGTCCTTCTAATTGTGGCATGTGGGACGCTGCCTCAGCATGGCCTGATGAGCGGTGCCATGTCTGCACCCAGGATCCGAAGTGGCGAAACCCTGGGCCACAGAAGTGGAGCAGGTGAACTTAACCACTCGGCCACGGGGCCAGCCCCCCAAGTATAGTAACTCTTATTCTCTGTTGTGTTTTGTGCAGCATTTTGATCATCCCACTAGGATAACTATATAGTTTCCTTTTTTAGACCAGAAATTTTGGGATAGTGAAGATTGCGTTTTATTTTTTTATCTATTAACATAAAGGGATAAGAAGAAAATCAATAGATTGAAAGTTTGATTTTGATTTCTGTGTTCTGAAAATAAGATCAGCACCTATTTAATGATGAATAAATATCAGATAGAGTTAATGAAGTACACCAACCAGTGAGGCACGTGATTATATTTAGGTTTTAAACTGCGTTATTCTTTAATTCTGTTTTGATTTTTTTTCCTCCAGTGTCTCTCAGAAGATAGAAGTGTGCGAGAAGTACTCCAGAAGCATTTCAATGTCAGCAAAAACCTGCGGTCTTTACACATGCTGTTGGTTTGTATTTGTTTTATTTTTATCACTCATTTTCTTTCACTTGGTAAAATTGATTAAAGCTATAGATAAATTTTGGGAGAATTAACATGTTTACTACATTGAGTCTTTCCAATCCCTGTATGTGGTGCATCTCTCTTTCCATTTAGTCCTTTGATTTCTTTCATCATCACTTTATAATTTTCACCACATAGATCCTGTATGTGTTTAAAGTGTATACCTAAGTATTTAATTTCCTTTGGAGTAATTGTAAATGATATTTTGTTTTTAATTTTAGTTTCATCATGCTCATTGTTAGTATATAGAAATGTGCTTGATTTTTGTGTGTTGATGATGTTTTCTGTGACCTTGCTGAACTCATTTATTCTAGAAATTTTCTTGTAGATATTTTGAGATTTTCTATGTAGACAATCATATCTGCAAATAGAAAGTTTTATTTTTTTCCTTTCCAATCTGTATATCTTTTCGTTTTTATATTTCCTTATTTATTTATATTTATTTCTTTGTCTTATTGCAATGGCTAGAACTTTTAGCACCATATTGAATAAGAGTGGTAAGAGTGGACATCCTTGCCTTGTTCCCAGTCTTAGGAGGAAAATATTCAATTTTTTACCATTAAGTATGATGTAAGCTGTAGGGTTTTTTATGCATGTTTGTTACAAATTAAGGTAATTCCTATTATTCCTAACTTAGTGAGATTTTATTATGAAGGACTGTTGGATTTTGTCAAATGTTTATTCGGTGTCAATGGATATGATCTATGATTTTTCTTCATTAGCATATTGATATGTTGGATTACATTGCATGATTTTTGAATGTTAAACTGATTTTGCATACCTTGAATAAATCCCACCTGGTCATGGATTTCACCAAGTAATTATATCCTAGGCTTAAACAGTATCAATAAAGGGATACTTAATTGTTCTGAAAATTAAAGTTCATCCTTCACTAACAGTATTGAATATTTCTAGAAAATTATCTTTGGAAAATACCTTTCAAGGAGAAAACACTTTTGGTTTTCTGAGTTTCTTCTTGGTCACTTTCATTCATAATAATAATAGATATCATTTACTGAATAGTGCATGAGCCAAGTAATATAGTTATTATGTCTAACCTTTGCAATAATCCTATTTTTTATCCTTGGGCATTTTTATCCTTACCTTTGAAGAAACTGAGGCTACTTGAGGTTAAATAACTTGCCGCAGGTCACACAGCTAGTAGAGGGCAAAACAATACTCAAATACAAAGTTCTCTGGCTTCAAGCTTATATTCTACTTTACCATGTGGTTCTGTTGTGTTTATTTACAGATTCTCCTTCCTGATTTCTATTTTTGCTCAGAAAATTTAAGACTTTTTTCCCTATATTCTTTCCTTCTTGTTAGCACATCCCTTTCCCATCCGTCCATCGAAAGCATACTGCTATTTTCAGCAATAGTTGTCCTTATCATAAGGAATTTGGGGACTAAGAGTTTTTAAGAGTAAGGTTTTTAGTTATTTATATACCAAAATTAGACTTCAGTTACTAACTTTTGGTATATAGAGGATGTACACACACACCACGTATGTACACATAAATATACATATACACACACCTCTCGTTATTCTGAAAAATATCCCTGCCTCAAAATTGTCAACATGAACAGTCATTGTTTTGCCAGTTTCCTATTACACTTTTAATTCAAAGTAATAGCTTGATTTTTGTTTTGGTTTTTCTTGTTTAAGAAAAGTTTTGGAATTGGTAGAAATTATAAAGAAGAGGGAAAGACTTGATTGAGATTAGATATAGTTTGGGTACATTTTCAACAAAAAGTCTGGAGTTATACACATAGAAAAAAGCACCCTCATTGCATACCCAAAAGTAAATTCCAGGTTAAGAAACATAAATGTACGTACAAAAATAAAACTTTATGCGCCAGCCCAGTGGTGTAGTGGTTAAGTTCACGCACTCTGCTTTGGCGGCCCAGGGTTCATGGGTTTGGATTCCAGGAGCAAACTGACACTCCTCATTAAGTCATGCTGTGGCAGCGTTCCACCTTCAAAATAGAGGAAGATTGGCACAGATGATAGCTCAGGGACAACCATCCTCAAACAAAAAGAGGAAGATTGGTAACAGATCTTAGTTCAGGGCCAACCTTCCTCACCAAAAATAAATAAATAAATAAACTTTAAAAAATTTAGAAGAAAAACATAAGAGAATATATTTGTAATCTTGAGGTAGGGAAAGATTTCTTAGAGAAGATATACAAATCACAAACCATAAAAGAAAAGATGGATAAGGTTAATCACATTGAATTTCTAAATGTCGAGACACCAAAAATACCATAGAAAAAGTGAAGACTGGTTGACAGGATATATGCAATGCATGTAATCATCAGTACTATCCATAATATATAAACAGCTTCTACAATAATCAGTAAAGGAATGAGCTAAGAATATCAGCAAGCAATCTACCAAGGTAGAATCTCACATGACCTATAATATGCAAAGATGTTAACCTCTCCAGTAACCGGGAAACGGTACAATTTAAACTTTACAATTAAACCTTTTTTTTGTGCCAATCTAGTGGGTATCATTTTATGTCTGATGGTATGGTGGCTGTGACTGTTAAAATTTATTGCTGCTGGTAGTGTAAATATGAATAAGTACTTTAGAGAGCAATTTGGCAAATTAGGTGTCTAGTGAAACTCAAATGCATATGTAGACATATACAAGATTGTTTTTTGCAGCCTTGTTTATAATTGCAAAAAAAAGAAAATGAAATGACCGATATACCTAAATAAGGGAAGAATAATTAAATTGTGAATATATACAAAGGAATACAATACAACAGAAAAAACGAATAAACTAGAATTGATACTTTAACATGGGTAAATTCTCGTAACAGATCTTCAGTGAAGAGAGAAGCAAGAGTACAATATGGTATTTATATGAAACTTGAAAATTACTCTGTCGTCTAGGAATAAATATATATGTAGTAGGATTATAAGACATACATGATTTTTTTGTATAGGGAAGAGTAGAGAATCCAACCGGGGGAAGAGACAGTGACTCCAACTCTAGAAAGATTATATTTCATATGCTGAGGAAATGGTCATGGATATTCATTATGTTCTTCTCTTGCCTTTTTTTATGTCAAAAATAGTTTATAATAAAAGGAAAAAGAAAAGGTAAGAGAAAGGGAAGGAGCTACTGAGTACCTGGGTCCCTCCCAGTAGGGGAATGAAGGACAAGGATTGCCAAACTCTTTGCAACTAAGAACCCTGGACCCTGGTTAAAGTGGGGAAGAGAGTTTCACTATAAATATGTCCCAAATAGTACTTGGTACAGACTTACACTAAGAAATGATTCATTGTTTACCTGGAATGCAAATTTAACCAGATATCATGCATTTTTGTCTGCTAACCATGTTTAAATAACTAAATTTAAATTTCTAAAAATTACAAATAAATAAATCTTCAATCCAGGAATTATATTAGTTGTTGGAAAGACAATTAGCTACATGAAAAGTGGACTCTGCTTTCAGTGAGAGTTGTTTCTGGGTGTAATTTTGGCTTTTATTTTTTTCTTTTTTGTACAATTGAACATAAAGTAGCTAACTTCTGTCTGTCACTTACATTAACCTTGGACTTGTTGATTGAGTAGTATGAATGTTTATACAAATTACAGATCTGCCTGTTTGGTTTGGCTTTGAATAGTATTCTTATTTTTGGTCTCTTCTCCTTGCCCTACTTTTTCTTTTGCAGAGTTGTAATTACACAAGATATGCAAGTGGGAAGGGGTAGAGAGAGCAGCAAGAATGTTTTTTATGCTTTACATTTATAGAGTTATATGGTAAATGAATTGAAACATTATTTTAATAGAGCTAAATATGAGAGAATACCTTTCCCAAGCATTAATATTTACTTTCCTGTAAGAATAGACTCTCCAAATTAAGAAGTTTTGTTCAGTAATATCTCCAAAATGCCCAAGTAAATATGTAATTGTTTTGCTGATCCACATTTCCCTAGATGCTTGCTTTAAATCGCGTAACATCATCCCACCCATTTATGACTGCAGCAGATCTGATGGAGGCAAACCAGCTGTGTAGCATGGACTCTAAAGCAAATATCGTACATGGTGAGAAACCTGCTTGATTAGGACTTTTTTATAAGTTTGAGTTTATATAATTGATAATGAGTTTATATAATAGAATGCTTTTAAAAATTATAATTAACAATGGGTATAGTGTTGTATGTCTAGAATGCTTTTATATCCATACAGCTTTTAACTCAGCCCTTTAAAAGGTATTATCATTCCCATATAAAGTGAAAGAAACTCAACGCTCTGCCTCCCTTGCCACAGTGCAAATCCAGCTAAAACTATTGTAGGCATTCTCATTGCACAAAGTGCTACTGAAAAGCATTGGCTTTTAACCATTTTGGTTTTGCTATCCCTTTTGAGAATCTAATGAAACTTCTCTTGAGGAAAAATTTTAGATATAATTTCCAGGGGTTTAGAGATTCTCTGAATCATCAAGGGCCCTATGTGTTTTAAAGTTACAGAATAATTGCAGCTTCAGTTTTTGTTTACTGTGGGCCATACCGTAAATGCTTGATAATATTATCTCTCATCCTTATAACATCTCTGTAAGTTTAGAAAGATCTTCGTTTTGCAGATAGGAAAACTAAGCTCAAGGAGGTTGAGTAACTCACTTAAGATTATATAGATCATAGTGACTGAAACACAGTTGAACCAAGGGGAGATCTTAAAGACGACCTCCCCGACTCCTCAAAATCATGATCATTCTATTTGGAGGACAGTTATTTCAATCTTATATATCAGAAGTAAACTATGACTCATAGTTTGTTTCCCTTTGTAACTGTAGGTCTGTCAGTCTTGGAAATCTGTCTTATAATAGCAATGAAGCATTTAAATGACATCTATGAAGAGGAGCCCTTTAATTTTCAAATGGTCTATAATGGTGAGATGAGTCTGGTAGTTTCTTTCTGACTCTAACCCACTGCTTATTTGAAGGTACTAACGTTGTCATTGCTTTCTCTCCAGAGTTTCAGAAGTTTGTTCAAAGGAAGGCCCATTCTGTTTATAATTTTGAAAAACCTGTTGTCATGAAGGTAAGATTTAAGTTCACCGTTATTTTTCTGCAGACAGGTATATTTTTACATCCGATTTGATTGTATATATCACAATTGCACTTTCATTAATTTTGAAACATTAGGTATTTATCATAGGAATTTATTTTCAAAACAAAAATCTAAAAATGAAATGTATGAATAATCCTGAAGAAAGCAGCCAGTTCTGTTAGTTTGTGTGGAGGTATACTGCCCTCTACCGTCTGTTCCTAGCACTTGCATCCTGAAAAGGAACTATTCATTACAGTCTATCAAATCTGTCAGTATATAACTATTCCTTTACAACCCAAGGGTTGGCTTTGTAATCTCGGCAGTTTTAAAAAGAGACAAAAATGCAGATATGAACCATTAAGAAACTAAAAGACAAAATATCATTGGCTGGTGAGGATATACAGAGAAAGTTTTATTAGGAGCTGGGTGAGGCATAAGTTTTAAAACTTGAGAAACTTTATTCTAGTGTACCATTGTTCACTAGAACTGTAATGTGAGCTATATAATTTCCTAATAGCAACAAAAAAGTAGAAAATTAGAAAAAGGTAAGATTAACGTTAGTATATTTTATTTAACCTAATATACCAAAAAATCTCAATCTATTATCAATATAGAAAATTATTAATAAAGTGTTTTCCATTATTTTCTTTTGTTGTAAGTCTTTGAAATTCAGTGTGTGTTTACACTTAATGCACATCCTGATTCACTAAATATTCATTGGAAATACTTTCTCTTTAGATTCCATAAAAATTTTAGTTGAAGAAGTAGAGTAACATTCTGAAATTGTTCCAAACATACTTAAAATTTTCTGATTGACTCAAGTATCAGTTTTAAATTAAACTGACTGAAAATTAAACTTTAAAATCGAGTATCACATTTCAAATGCTCAATAGCCCTATGTGGCTAGTACTTACCTTATTGGACAGTAGAGCTCTAGAGGACTTTAGGGGAATAAATATCTCTTTTTTTAAAGCAATGAACCCGTAAGTCTGTTAGCATCTCTTATAAGCCCTAGTGGTCAGAATATTATTTCATGTAGCAACCAAAAAAACGTGAGTACAGGGCATTGCCATTTCTTGAAAACAACAGGAAAAGTATTTAGCATACTGGAGGTTTCTTTTTTAACCTCTTCCTAACATCCATATCTGTCTGATAGTCATAGTTTGTGGGTGTTGTATGAGTGAAAAGGGTTACCTGAGTATTTAAATTCTTATGAGTAATTTGCAGCTGCTCATTTCTGCATTTAAAATAAGAAAGTATTTTGTGCCTAGAAATATTTTAAATTTCCTCTATTTTATTCAGCCCCAAGACGTGCAGCCTCCAAGTGTTTTCTCATTTTCAGAAATGAATACTGTCGAGATATTTCTTTTTCATCAGAAGAATTTTTAAGATACATAAAGAATATATTCCAATGATATTTTTCAGAATGAGGATGTAAGAAAAGAAAGCTCAGGAATCTATTTCAGTGTATCAGTATTTAATGGTTGCTATGTCATGATTTAATGGTTTGTTTTCCTTCATATCCTAGTAAAATACCTAAAACAACAATCAAGGTTAGAAAAGAAATAATACATGCATATTAGAGGTGAGAGGGAGCAGACAGTACAGAACTCTGTTAAGGTGAGGGGATGGAAGAAGGGGACTTTGTGACAGGTTGTGGCAGTCTCTGTCGACTCAGGGAACCAGGAACCTGTCCTCCCCCTTCCATGCCCGGGGCACTCAGCTCAATCATTTATTTATAGGACCAGCTGAACAGGCTGGTGTACTCCTAGGGGGTCTTTCCTGCCTGCCTCTTTTTTTGCAGCTGTTTTAAACTTTTACACAGCTAAGTCTTACAAAGGTAGAAACAAAATGTAAATGTGAATTTGCGTAACCTAGGTAATTAGCCAAAAATTACTGGTCTCATCAGGTCTTGGGTTTTTAGAGAGAACGGGTTGAAACCCTTCATTAAGTACTAGGAGGAGATACGATATAGAATGAGGTTAGGAACAAAAGCCATAAAGTTTGCCCTGTTTACATTCAACAAAGCAGGGACTGGTAACTGTATATTGTGAGGTATGAAGTCTTTATGAGGTTGATGAGAATTACTTTTGAACCCTATTTATTTCTATTAAGTTTTGTTTCCTGGCGCCTGACCAAAACCTTAACTGTTCTCTGGGTTAACGTTGTTACTTTATTTCCCCTATTCAACCTAAACTATTTCTTTCGTCTTTCAGGCTTTTGAACACTTACAACAATTAGAATTAATAAGACCCATGGAAAGAACTTCAGTAAATGCACAGAGAGAGTACCAGCTGATGAAACTACTTTTGGATAATACTCAAATTATGAATGCTTTGCAGAAATATCCCAACTGTCCTACAGATGTTAGGCAGTGGGCAACATCCTCACTAAGCTGGTTATGAATACAATCAGTGGCTTCAATTATGGAGTTTCAGGCATGCTTCTCTAACAGAACTAAAAGCTATTGTCCTTTAATAAGATATGTTATTACATTTTTTATATTTATGAACATGTATTTTTGTATTTATGGGGAACTGTTACACATGTACTAATCTTGGCTGTATCTTGCCTTTGAATCATGAGCAGTTACATGATTTATAATCCCAGTGATTTAGATTATACTGTAAGTAGCAGTTGAAAAAAATAAATGTGACTATTTTAGGCATTCAACCATATGCTTGTTCAACACTTGTGAAGTATTTATGTGGTACATTTGAAGAATGCATTTCAACCTAGCAGCCAAATGTTTTTATAAACTTTAAACAAAGCAGTAAAGAAACAATGGTAAGGATAGAGGTGTAATTGAGTAATCTTCTGGTCCAGTGGGAGGTGCTGCATTTTTTTTTTTTTTTTTTTTTTTTGAACCTATGGAAATTTTGGATTCTGTCCCAGGCGTAGGTCTTCCAGTTCAGGAGACTGACCAGTTTGGCTAGAAGATAGTTCACATGTATTTTGGGCAAAAGTTTAAACATTTTCTTCCGGACTGCTCAAAATATGGTACTCATACCATCTACAGAAGAATCTCTTGTAAGACTTTTTTAAAATGCAGATTCTTGGGCCTACTCTAGGCCAAAAGGATCAGAATTTGTCTTTTTAACAGACACTTTAGGAAATTCCTGGAAAACTGCTCCCACGAATAATAGGAAGTGTTTGACAGTGTTAACTAAATGTATTTATATCAAAAAGTGAATTGCTAAGAGGAATGTGGAAATGTTAGTCAAAGCATCACCTTATAAATTCAGGAATCCATGAACCAATACAGGTATATGTTTAAAATGGAATTTAATAAGCATTTGTTAAGTATTAGTGGCTTCATTTATTCAAGAGTATTTGATTGCCTGTTGTTTTCATGGATGGTTTACAAAAGACAGAGTCCCTAGCCTCATGCAGTTTATAATCCCTTTAACTATTAAAGGCCCTATGATATTTAGATACTGTTATTTGCAGATAAGAATGTTAACACAATAGTGGCAGTGTCCAGAATCACACAGGTAGAGAATGATTGACCCTGAAGTTCATCTCAGGTTTGATTGACGCCAAAGCCCCTGCTGTTAAGACCTGAAGTTCAGTAATGGGTTCCTTACGACGTATTTTTTAAAGTATGCTCTAAGAAATGATTTATCTAGTTTTTATCAAGTCTCGGATGTAGAACGGGATATAAAAAGATTTCTGTGCATAAAAGTAACTCTTCAGTAGTTACAACCTATTCTTTTGCATACATAGCTGTTCCTTCCCTGCCTTCTCAGTCTTCAGATCACTGTCATTTACTTTTCAGCAGTGTCTTGCATAGTGGTTCTATGTGATAGTCTATAGGTTTTCAGGGGATACTTTGCCAAAATACTTAATATGGTAGCCTCACTATTACTAGAAGCAAGGATTTTATACATGAGCTAAAATTGTCCCTTTAAAAAATTTCTATCTACTCTTTTAGGGAAGTACCATCTGCCTTAAAGACACTAACTGTAAAAGCATCTAAAGAACTGACTTGAGGATTGCCAATTTTTACTAGCTTAAGATGCCACTGAAAAGGCTGAGAGCCCTCATTTGCCTCCTTGGCTACTTGAGAGCTATAAAAGATCCATCAACATTTTCATTTTTAGTGAAACAGTTATAAAGCAAATCAGAAAAAATAGGTTAGCAGAAGTCATACAAATAAATTATACGTCTCCATTCCAAAGGCTTTCCTAAATTTTTTTTTTGAGGAAGCTTATCCCTGAGCTAACATCTGCTGCCAATCCTCCTCTTTTTGCTGAGGAAGATTGGCCCTGAGCTAACATCCACGTCCAACTTTCTCTACTTTATATGTGGGATGCGTGCCACAGCATGGCCTGATGACCGGTACGTAGGTCTGCACCCAGGATCTGAACTGGTGACCCCTGGGCCACTGAAGCAGAGCATGCGAACCCGACCACTGCGCCACTGGGCCAGCCCCACCAAAGGCATTTTTTGATGGGAGGAGGAGGAAGGTTGATGTTTCCCTTTCCATATTCCCTAATACAAAGAAGCTAAAATGTACTTAGAAAATATTTAAACTTAGCTTCATCTCTTAAATTGCCTAAACATCATCATCATCAATAAAATAAAAATCAAATCTGAAAAGCCCTAGTAAAACACTTTCAAGAATAATGTAAACAAATATGGCTTAGATATTTTCTTCATTTACTGGAGGAGGAATATAGCCATTTAACAGCACAGTCAAAAACCCATGAACTCCATGGGTCATCAGATTGAAAAGCAGGTGAGGCCAAGTGTTAGAGGCTTCACGAAGTGCAGTTTTTACTTGTGTGATCTGTCTAGATGCCCTACCAAAAACATGATCTTAGTAAAAAACACAAAAAAACTCCAGTTCACGTGCACATGCACATGAATGGCTCTGAAGAATTAAAACCTGTTGGTCCAAACTTACTCTGTCATAATGCCATATGTGTTGAGTATATACTATTGACTTCCTGAAGAAGCAGTGTTTTGCAGAACACAGCTGTGAAAAACAATTTCAGTCTTTCTGTAGCGGTCCCATGCAGGTTCCACCATGGTGTGCATTTTCATTTGTTTTGGAAGCAAATGCAGGTTCTTTCAGACCACCATAACCTGTGTTGCCCCTTCCTTCACCTTTACCCTAAAAAACTGAGAATCCGTTGGTGTAAATTATGACACTCAATATGACAATGTGGGGCTTTTCCACCTTCTTTTTCTTTGAAAGCCACAGGATAAAGAAAAGCCTTTACAACATTAAAAATGATAATGAAAGCTAGTTTCTTTGATGATTACTCTTACTGATGACTCTAAATGAAAATGCCAGAATTATTCCATTCAATTAGTTACATAGTTGAGAAGTGTAGTTTATATCTTTCATGACCATTTCCTAAGCCACACTTCTCTATTTCCATATGAAAAGGCAATGTAATTAATGCCAGCTAGCCTCTGGCTTCCTAAAACTGGCAGGACCAACATAGATACTTCAGTGGGAATACAATCTGCTTAGAAAACAAAGGAGGGAAATGCCACAGCTGACAGACCTCCCTTCTTTCACCAGTCTCCATTCTTGCAAATTTCAAGGTGTAAACTTCACTATAAATTACAAAGCTACTCTTCCCCTCTTTAAGAAGAACATACAGCTAAAGAAAAACTGCATATGCAAATCATACCATAATTCATTTTTTTATTTAACTTGGGGATGGAATGGGGATAGCATACATTTTATTTGTACAATATTTAACAATCACTTATCCAAGGTGGGGTTTTATGGGGCTATTTTTTTTTTTTTTAGCTTTTTGTTAAATACTTGCAGAAAAAAACAGCAAGTACAATTTGACAGTAGTACAACAACCTGTGCCCAAAACACTGACAAGAAATACAGAATAAAGCTAAAATAATTGCTTACCAATATTTTGAGAGGTAACAAATAGGATATGGGTTGAGACTGCATAAAAAATGTACTGCTGGTTGAGTATCTGAGGTAAATGATGTTCAATCAAGATGCTACTTGTATCATTTTGCCCATAAATCAGTAAATAATTTTATGCACATTATACCAAATATTCCTAAAAAGTAATTTTTTAAAAAGGTAAAAAAGAGAAACTGGAAAATATCTGTGGTGAAGCATTTTTTTTTAAAAACAGTAATCAGTTTATTCCACTAAACTATCCTCTGGCCAGGGTTTTTTTCCCTACCATCTGCATTTTACTTAAATGTAGCTGTTACATAGGGGTGAGGAAAGGGGGAAAAAGAGATTCTTTTTCAATTTAATGATATATGATTCTATTTTTAAATTCCAAACTTGTTGGGTTTTTTTCCTGATTGTATTTTCAAAACATCACCATGAAAGATAGTGTGAGTTCACGGGACCAACAATTGTGAGGCACAGTCTCTTGTTCTGGAATTCACAAGGTACCTGTAATAAACATTCAAACAAGAATCACACATCACATGCTAAAAACTTCCTAGCATCTAAAATACATACAAGAGCTGTGCAGGGCATAGACTTTGAATAAAGCCAAACACTGGTTAATCCATCAGTCCTATGGCAGTTGATCATAAAGCATTCCTTACACGGAGATCTGGGCAAGGTAAAGAGTATACGTTAGAGCAGCAGTTCGGATGGGTGTCAGAAAGGCAAAATACAAGATGAATCATAAAGAGCACCATACACATGAGGAAAAAATTACTGGGGTCTTAGCTAACCCCAAAACAAGTCATTTTTCTCATTCTTTCATCTTTCTTTATTTCAGCATCCCTAGCTCAAACTTTTTGTTAACTTGCCCACTCTGCACTGACTGTAAACCAAACATGAAAATGCCCTGCAAAAGAAAGTTTTCACAAGACTAGGTATCAGGACAGGTAGTCACTGGAACATTATTATTTACTGCTTATAAAAAGTGTTTTTATATTAATATAGTTCTCAAAAGGATACAAGTTTTAAAATTGGTTAGCTAGTTAAGTACAATAACCAGGATTTCTAAAAACTTTTTCTAACATGAAGAGAAAACTTCTATCTTGTGAATAATTGGTCTTACAAAATTTATCTCTAGACCTCACATAAGCCAAACATTCATCATAATATTCCTTGTTTTTGTTTCGATTTTTTTTTTAACTTTTAGAAACAGGATTAAATGTAGAACAGGTAGAAATTAGTCTTCAGGAGATCAACAATTTTCATGTATGAACATTCTCATCATTTTCCCTTCTTCATTAGTTTCGAAGTGGAAGCAAAACCAAATCAAGAAATTGAGAGGCCAACTATTTTTTGAAATAAAGAGGTGAACTCAACATTGAAATGGAAATTCTTAGGAATACAATGAAACCTTGGATACATGTGTGACCAAGAGCACAAAGTTTTGTATGGTGTGTGGCACATAGACAACAATGCTATTACTCTTCTTTCCCTCCCTGCTTAGAGTCTGTTGACCTATGTATTATTTATAAATAATTTATTATTCCCAGAGATTGTGCATTTATATGTAAAATGTAGTGTACTGTGTGGTTAAATAGCCATTTGAAGATAACATTCAC